CAACTCTTAAATTAACAGAATCTACTTCGTACTTCATACAGAATTTAAATGGAGCTGTTGAGCACTATTCTGTTTGGGCGGTAGTGGTCAGTGCTGAGGAGTTGCTGAGTTCCTGAAGGAGGCTCGGAGTGCGCCGAGAACGTTGGCGTGATTCGGCAGAGTTCGCTTGCTTGTCGAATGCCCCTTCCGCCGGCGAGGCGCCTGTGTCGGGTAGCGTGTTCTCTGGAAGCGCTTGCATTTCCGACAGCATTGATCATTCGAGTCTCATGTCTTCTTTGATGTTACAAATTCGGACAAATGAGAGACTCTGTCAAGATCACGTGATGTCAATGTGAATGAACAAATGGCATTAAAAAGAATTAATCAAATCATGTATAAAATGGAGGCATAATAAGAAAAGTAAGGTACTGTGTAATGGTTCTCATGAAATTTACTGGAATCCATGATCTTGAAATAATAACGTTTTCCATGTTCAACACATGGTATACGTAATTCATATATTATAATTCATTCCTGTGTTTTGAAAAGCAACGTAGTGTCAATTTACAATATTTGCAAATTATAATAATCGCAACGCGATAAACAAAACATAATAGGGGATTTTTACATTTTCAGAAACGTTTTACATTACTGACAAGTACAGGTTTTGTGTTGAGGATATCGTCTCGTAATCAATATGATAACCATTATGAAAGGTTAATCAAACACCTATTCATATCCTGAACACAATGGTCGTATAATACAATCAAAACATTAAGACGAACTTCAGCTGCGGGAAGTCTTCCTCGGCGTACTGGTGTAGCAAGATCCGCTCGACCCCCACGAGGGCAAGTGAAAGTAAGAAGGCGCTGGCATTCTGTTGCAGGCCACGGCTGACCCCGGCGACAAATGTCAGTCACGTTACTCTACGTTCATGGCGATTCAGTAACTTCTCGAAGATGCGATGTTAAATCTGCCATTGTCCGCTTGATATCGGACCACAAGACTTGCTTCTTTGGGCTAGAAACGATTATGAATAAAGCAAAATAATGATAAAATGACAAGGTAATCATCTAAAAAATGTTATCGACGGAAACTTTTAGTTCATTTTATGGATTTCTCTTACTTTTATCCCAAGACTTGAGAATGAAGAAAAGTTGCCAAGTTGGGTACTTCCACTGAGGAACAAAAACATCACAGTCACTATGGTTCTTAAAAGTGACCCAAATAGACTTTAAGGTAATAACGAGCGTGTTTCCATGTCATTCAAACGTTTCCTGGAAGTGAAACCGCGCTGTTTTACATTAAGCGACGACAAAGGAGTTTACAGCCCGAGAAAGCAGCCCGCCACTTGGCAAAGTCATCCACAAAGGGAACACTCGAACCCGGGGCTTCCGCCCTCGAACGCCGGCCGGCGGGGGCGGTCGCGTGGCCACAGGAGGACGTGTGCTCAGCCCCTGACCCTGTCACTGCGACACGGTGACCTGCGTCAAAATTAGGCCGTCGTCGGGCGACCCGGAAGGCCCCGCCCCCTCGACCCCCCTCCCCCGGGGGGCACGGGCTGTCACGCACCGCACGCGCAGGCATCCCGCGTGCGTGTGCTACGCGCGTGCGCGGCGACACGTGCGCCAGTGCGCTCTTTTGTTCGTCGCAGGCGTTGACACAGAATATGAGCGACACAACGACGCGATGAGGAGACCACCCGCTCGTCTGCTATCGCGCGTCGCTCTTGGGATGTCCTGGCGCGAAAGAGCGGCGCGAATTCAGCGAGTAGCTCTCATTGAATATTGAGAATAATTTCTATTTACTCAAGAGACTATGTTTGCACTGTCTCACACGTTACAAATACATCGACACGTAAAAAACGTGATTTTTTTGTGATTTTAACTATACAAACTTTGTTTATATTACGAATACAAACTGATTTGGGAAAATGTTTATAAAAAATGATTTGCGGCATAATTTCTTTCATGAGTTTTTTTATTAATAGATGTTGAAAGTATAATCGGGGTTTTAAAACGGCAAAGCTTATCTCTTGGTGATGATAAAAAGAGGAGTTTCAGGGAAAGAGTAGTGCGACGAAAGAAAAAGGGGAGGAGAGAGATGTGAACTCGATACGTACGGATCATTACACAGACAAAATTACAACACAATAGGAAAAGTCGGATAGGCCGAAGCTGATCTATGCATAGCAACCACGGTTTCTTCCTTTGAAATTCCCGGGCAGTGTTAATTAATAAAAAATAAAAAAATAAAAACTACCACAGCCGTTTCAAAACGAGTCAAAAATCGACAATATTGAACCGCTGCCTTAATATCCCTGGGAAGAAGCACGTCGCCAAGGGAAGTGCAGGAGGTGCCGGCCGCAGCGCAGCGGGCGGGGGCGGAGCAGCGAGTCGCGCGCGCCATAACCGCGCTCGGAAGTGGAACGGTTCCGCCGCCGCCGCCGTCGCCGCCGACGGCGTCCGGGATCAGCATACAAACGCGCCACGACGCTCCGCCCCGCCCACCGCGTCCCGTGCCCCACCACACCGCAGGAGGGATACACACCACCGTATTTATTGATATCAGAAACAAGTTATGTTCGTTAAATGATGCTTACGAGAACGAATGTATTTACGTGTGCGAGCAACAATCAAAAATTAAATTTTATTGAAAAGTTAATAGATTGATCTTCATTTTGTTGTAACTTCAACGAAGTTTACGTTAAGAACTATCGTGCTAAAAAATCTTCAAGTCCATTTCCTATAAATACGTATAGAGTTGTGCCTACTTGCGTAAGTATTGTTGAAACGTTTATAATTTAATTGGAGAGTAACAGACATTATTTTATGTGCCCGTATAGTCCATCAAAAGGTATCACGAAGATGTGAAGATTGAGCGGTACTCGCTCAATGAGAGATCCTTACAGACGTCCGTATCCAACACTGCATTGAGGAAGGTAATTGTGGCTTTGGAGCGGGATGACTTCGGGCGTGTCCCGCGGGAAGGTCGTTACTGCCCGCGTCCCTACGTAACGGTCGGGTGGCGCTGAGAAAATTTTGTGCTGCAGTCATTGCGTTTGAGTTAATTAATTGTACGTGACGCTTAACTGTTGTTCTGGATTCACTTGTGAACGTTACTCCCCGGGAAGGTGTTTCTTCAGGAGTCAGATAGCAAGTTGTGTGTTCATGTTGGGAATGTGTTTGACTGCGGCGAATTAAATTGAAGTTTAAAGTAAAAAATAATTAATCAGATTGGAAATACAATGAGCCGTTAAAAGTATTAACTACCTATGAAAAGCTGGCCTATTCGTGATAGAGATGTTTAATATGCTTCATAACCACTTCTCAACTTAAATGCAAATTCGATACAGAGAATTTTATTTTACTGCATTTACCATTTGAAGCACTCGATTTCGAATAATTGTCTCGTATTGATCTTCACTCAAGCTGAAGTGAAACAGTGTAGTGCAGGTCAATCTTTTAGTCCAGTTCTTGCTCTACCTACATAATACGTCGTGAATACCGCGACGATCAAAATAGACCAGATGGAATCATCACTTAAAAATACAACTCGCATGTCGAGATAGCAAGTGGTCTCTGGGGTTCTGAAATAGCTCGAACGGCATCTCGCAGACGTCTCCGCGAGTTCGTTTCGGACGGCATCAGACCAAGAGGGGGTAAAACAAAGCTTCCACGGCATATCGGGTGTACCGCCTCTTAGGTTTCTTCTCGACAGGCAAAGAGGAGAAAAAAAGCAAGTGCGGCCAAACCGGACGCGGCATCGGCAGCGGCGGCGACGCTGATCACGTGACCCATCCGCCCGGCTGCGAACCCAGGACCGCGTCGCCGCGATCGCTCTCGCTCGCCATCCACCTGAACGTCCCCCACAATAGTTTATTTTTCCTACGAGTTTTTGCGTTATTCAATCGAAAACTCTTCAGACAATAACTACGCTCATACCCACGATAATGCACGGTGAAGAGTGAGGAGACAATGTGAGTCGAAAATGTTCTAAAATAAACGAACATAGGAAAAATGTGAAGTTATGGCGGTTCTGCGAATTGAACACCACTCACTCCACGCGGAGCTATCAGAAAGCACCACTCTCACTCCCAGTCAGGAGGGATGACGTATGTTCCTCAGATGACAGCTCCTTTCTGAGAAGTCCGGAAGAGCGCATGACTACACATCCTTTTACTTCCACTTGGCATGCACTCGCGGAAAGCATTCAAGAATTGCGATGCCGAGCAATAATGTTACAATATTTCGAATATTCTTACATGAACGTAAGAGAGGCATTTACATCTTAAAATGTACAATTTGTAATGTTTTACAAATATTAAGTAAATAAATTATTTTTGAGATGATTGATAATTTGGTGAGTATTCATGGCTATGAAAGAATTTGTTATATAATGATAGGTATTACTAACTTAAATTTCACCTCAAAACTCGATTAAAAGGGTTCATCGAATCATTCCACAGACTACGTAACACATCAACTTATGGGTTTTCGGATTCATTCAATACTCATTACATACGTAGATTGAAGCACTCTGTGAAATTAGGGAATCCAAGTAGTACACAGATTGTCGCTCCAACTGAGCAAAACATTTAAAATAAATATGTATGAAATGCATGCCACTTGTTCATTTACTAAAAAAGATGTCCTCGCCACTACGAAAATAGTTAAAAATCTTGCTTTTCAACGTACGAACTTGTTCACTCATGTAAAGCGAAGGGATTCATTTAAACCAAAATAGTACAATGCTGGTATGGAATCTTATCTTGAGAATCTTATCACCAGGGGCAATTGATGCTCGGGAGAGTGTCGAAAGCGCACATGAACACACACTGAGCAGCGCCCGCAGGGAGAGCTCAGCTCCGTTCGAAAGTCGCGCGCGCGCGAGCTGGAGCCGCGGCGGCGGGCGGGGCGCCCAGGGGCTCGAAGCCGGGCCTTCGCACGCGGCCATCGCCCGCCCGCCGGCCGCTGCCACGCACGCACGCACGCGCGGGCGCACGTCGCGTCGCGTCTCACCTGTGCAGAAGGCAGGAGCGGCGGCAGCAGCGGCGGCACAACAGTTGTGTCAGTTGCGCGAGTCCACACACGACTGGCGCGAGCGGCGAGGGGCGGCCAGCAGATCGCCTTTCCCTTCGCCTTACGAGGAGCCCCGGCAGCGCTCGAGGCCGGGCGGCGGCGGCGGAGGGGGCGGAGGCCGCCGGGTGGGGGCGGCCCCCTCCCGCGCCGCCAGCCCACATTCACGTGGAACTTATGTTCGCGTGGCTCCTGTTTCAGGGCCCGCGCCGGGCCCCCTCCCTGCGGCCTCCGCCGAGAGCGTCACCGCAGCATCCAAATAACCGCGGCGTCTGCACGTGAGAGGCGAGGGCGGAGCGAGGAGGGGCGTGGCGGCGCGGCGGCGGCGGCGCGCGAGGAAGGGGTGCCGGGGCAGCGGGTCGGGCAGGGCTCCCCGCGAAGGCTCCGGAGCCGCCAACATCTCGTGGAACCCATTCAGAGGTTCACTTCTGAGTTCCATGCGGTACACTATAGGAATTTCTCAGAGATCGTGTCGGTGATGATATCATAACGTGTGTGAAGGACGCCCCAATATTGTGAATGGGAGCCCCACTTATGAGCGATCCATTTGAACAACGAAATAGGTCATAAAATCTACCTCCTCAACTACAACATTTAGAAATACCAACTAGAATTAGTTCAGATATAATCTTTATTGTGACTGAAAAGTATTAGTGATAATTTTATCTTATACTTTGATTTTTTTTAATCACAACGAACAAGTAACACTGTGTTAAATTCTGTCCCCCTCCTTAATGAGCTTTCTTGCCTCTTTACATTCTTGCACTTACTACGTAAGTATTGTCAAAAAGAAAGTAAGAAAAATATTGTAATTGTGTGTTGGAATAAGGAGATTTTTTTAAATTATAGCATTTTCTAAAGACATAAAAAATGTACAAATTGTAAAATACTGTGTACAAATGACAGAATTTCAAATTCAGAATGGAGGAAAGAAAATTTTTGGAATTCGAGTTATTGAAGAGTTTCCGAGCTTAGTCTGATTGCCGGAAAACTCAAAACAGTCTGAGAACCTTAAACAGCTCGCAATGTAACATCTGGTTGGAAAATAGAGGGTCTTTGAGAGCAGTCGCGAACAAGGGCTGCTTCGAAGGCGAAAGGCGAAGCCATCTGGTCCCACAGCAGGCCACTGCGGCCGCTCGCGCCAGCGGCGGACGAGGTGCGCAGCCCAGGCAGCGAACCCTCGACCCCTCGCGCCCGGGCCACCGCTCGCCCAGGCCCTCGGCGAGGGTCCTTGAGGTGCGACCCGGAATCATTCTGAATCAGTTTTTGTTGTTTAATTTACTCAATTGGGTTCATGAGATCCGCACATGCAAAGAGAATTGTCCCTATGACAAGTCAAATGACTACCAAAAGTATATAAATGCAAACATTATACCAATACTCTCTGCTTTGTAATTGTACTTACTTTAATTTTTTTTTAAAATTTTAGTTTGTTCTCTCCAGTCCTCTGAAGGTTTCGGATTTCACAAAACAAAATTCTCAGTAAAAAGTAGATCAGGCTTAATGAGAAGTGAAGAAAGAATTGTTTTCTCTCTCTCTCTCCCCTCTCTCCCTCTCTCTCTTTCTCTCCTTTTCTCACTTTTCTCTCTTTTTCTCTCTCTTTTCTCTTTTCTCCTCTCCTCTTCTCTCTCTCTCTCTCTCTCTCTCTCTCTCTCTCTCTCTCTCTCTCCGCGTGCGTTCGAGCATAGTCATAGAGCCAGGTGAGATGATCAAATAGTGTTATTTTCCTTCAGATATGCTGTCCAATATTGTAATTAATTATTAAAATCTAATTAAACAAACTCGAATGTTTCTTTTGATCGGCCCATTAAAATTGCGTACCGCAATATGCGATTTCAAAATATGCCCAGCTATGTCGTGAAGCAATCTTTTTATTGCAGAAATGTGGTTTGTGTTGCTGAACACCCGATAAATCCTAGAAACAGTACCATATATCAACGTTCATTAAACTCAATCGAAGCATTTAGAAGCTGATATGAGGTCACACGTTCCAGGGCTTACGATTTCCACAGATGGCGTTGTCTTTTTGCTGGGCCTATAATGCCACAAAAGGAATAGAAGTTCTGAGTGAAATACAAACACGTCAAAGTAGTTATATTGAATGGTACTTCTCAAAATGTTACAGGTCAGACTTGTTTGCGGGTAAGATAATGTTAGGGGATTACAATTGAAAGTTCTATTGTGATTATCTATAAACTAAAAAATACGATTTTCTTCTATCAACTATAAATAATTTAATAGTTTAAAAACACTATATTAATTATTTGGGTGAGAGTAGTTCCAATAATTTTCACTACTTCTAATATTTTCTACCTCACTGACGTCATAAGTTTAACGATAAAGAAATATTCTTTCATTATTTCAACTTATTTGTTTTGTTTATTACTTTATTTGGCAGTGTTGTTATTTCCTTTATCGAATTCCATGCAATATAGTTTTGTGTTTCATATATTTTGTTGAAATTTGATAATAAAAGAAAGCATATTTGTCATCATATCTCTAATTTTTAAAGCTACAATTTACTATAAGCTTTATTTTCGTACTTTACAAGTACTGATTGTCCACAAACACTTGTGTTTTCTTAGGTGCCTAAAAAATTATGATTTACCATCAAATGTCTAAGAATTATCGCAGAAAACTCTCTGGATTTATTACGTAGGTCTGTTACAAAATGGCACAAACTGTCTCGTGTAAATTAATTTCGTTTTCATTTCATTCATGCTAGCTTTTCGGTTTTGCACCCCCTCTTCCCAGTTGCGGTCTACAGGCGCCCAAAACATTTGTCTACTAATGGTAAAATTGAAATATGATTTTCAGAATATTAGAAAAGAGCAAAATATGGTGTTACATGCAATTTTTCATTAAACATTATAGATTCTTTTTGAGAAAATGTCGTTTGAACATTTTTGAAAACGCGCCAGTTTGAGCTCATTTTCACAGAAAATGTTTGGGTTTTCGAGAAACTTCTTAGAAAATCGTTTGTAGTACTTGTATTCATAAATGCAACAATCTAGTAAGAACGCCCGTAATGTATATATTATCGATGTGAGAGATAATTAAAAAACCTTACATTTGCGACATATTTGATAATTCAAAAGAACACATCAAAATGGCATTTTGTCGTGTTATTCATTACATTTAGTTATACCTGCACAAAAATTTTAAATAAATAATTTGGAGACGTTTTTAAGAGAAGATTGTTTTCAATATATTTTATATTGCCCATATTTCTCTCAAAACTGCGATAAAACTATTAATATTTTCAAAACATGTACATAACATCAATTAAAGAATGAATTGTAGAGATCAAACTTTATTTGAAGAAAAAATCTCTATTATCAATAATGTGATTGTACGGAGGGAGGATGCTTCACTTTATTCTTACAAGTAATTTAATGCTGGAAATGTCTGAGGGGTTTCTTGTAGTGTACCCTCAAAATGAAACGACTTCTTTTCAAATGCACAGGGCCTTGAGCCAGACAAGCAATATAGGGGAATTTTTTAAAAAAATCCTATGAATACAGTAGTTCAAATACTATGAGTTGTTCACACCGGACGGACGGACAAACGGATAGGCTGACGGACGTTTTGCTGCACACCAAATGTTCATGTATATTCATCATGTTGTATCAAGGACTCATCGTGGATTCCGACAACTGAACAAGTCACAGGAAGTACTTTTCTATATATTGGAACATGATTTATTCACCTTTTCGATGTCGGTGCCCCACAAAATGAGTTTTTCTGCATCCGACAAATCGCTAAACGGCATATTACTCTGTTTATACGTACGTATACAAAAATGTAAAACAATAAATTAGTTAATTGGCGCAAAATATATCGGTCATGAGTTACTCGATGTACTACAGTGTCGCCCAGCAAAACGTTCCTTTCACGATAAAAAAAGGTACTAAACCGAACTATCCGTAAGATTTATAGTCAACAATAGTGCCTCGGAAGTTGTTTGCAAAAGAATGAACTTCATCCCGTTTGGACAATATATTGGCTTACGAACCGTTTTCTTCTTACATTAAATCGAGAAGAAAATATAACACCTTCGGAATGTACGGAATCTGTAAATATTACTACCGCAATAAAAAGAGATTCTGAGCACATTGGACTCTGTGATTCATCGCAGCGTCAGTATCAGATTCAGTTTTGATGATTCATTGTAAGACGTTGCAGGAAAAGTCGAATTATTTACGTAAATCTAGAACGTAGATTTAGAAGAACGTAGACGGACAGACAGACAGATGGACGGACTAATTTAAAAAAATATAATTAAAATTGAATACTCATAGTTTTTTTTTTAAAAGAAGCTTGTTAACGCAAAATTGCTGCTACCTTTTCGCGAAACTTAAAAAAAATATTAAGGCGAAAAGAAATACTGCTTCTAGAGGCCACTTCTTTCGGAGAATACTTTTGAATCGGATCGAGCGACAGCAGCGACCCCCGGCAGAGAGAAGCAACGCCCTCGCGTTCGCACGGCACCCGCTACGTGAGCGGGCCGCGGAAATCGGCGGCGGCGAGGCCGGGCGCGGCCCGGCGCAGTTTCCCGCTGCGCGGGTCGGCCCGCGCCGCAGGCGAAAAGCCCGCGCCGCCCGCGCGTGTGTCGGCTGTGACATCAAGCGGCCGAGTGCGTCGCCCGCCAGCCACTTGCTCCCGCCGGTAGCTGCCGTCCGCTGGCTTTCGCTTGTTGGGCGGTTGGGATGACTTTCTGGGCCGGAGTAATCTGCGACCTGCTGAGAACGTTTTCATTCGGTTGACGAGAGGGTTTCATTCAGTCGGGGCCTTTGAGGTTGTCACATGTGAACATAAATACATATAGTAGTTATCTTATGGCGATTTCGATTAGGGTAAGCGAGGTACTCGATGAGTGATTAGATCAGAATCTCTTCTCTAAAACAAGCGTTCCCGAGGAGACTGGTGTCGGCCTCTGGGATCGACGAAATTTTAAAGGATGTTAAGAGGTCTACTGGAGGTCGATAGCCGAATATGGGACTGGTACATTAATCAAGATGAACGTTCCACTGATTAAACAAAATATTTTTCGTATACGCTTGTT